GGGGGGGGGGGGGGGGGGGGGGGGGGGGGGGGGGGGGGGGGGGGGGGGGGGGGGGGGGGGGGGGGGGGGGGGGGGGGGGGTAAATGCCATCCTCCCATAAGGTATTTTTCCAAGTTTTGAAAAAGACGTTTTTCGAGAAGAGGTTGAATCTTTCAGTAGTTGTTCATTCATCCTTCGCAAACATTTTGATATGCGAATAGTGTGTCCATGTGTTTTGACGTTGTTCTGGAAACCGCAAACTTTATGTAGGTCTGGCCAAATATCAACTTTTTTGATGTAATTTTCTATTTTTCCTAGTTTTCTTCGTCAAATTGCAGAAATTCTTGAATGTTGACATTCCATAGGCATTCTGGCTTCATTTTATATGAATTTCCGTTGTTTCTTGTCTCTTTAAGAAAACAATAAAATCCAAGATGGCGAATCCAAGATGACAAATCAAATGACGTCATTTTACGTCATATGACGACATAACATTATCTCCTCCTGACTAACAGATCGTCGAATCAACTTAACCTTTGTCAGGTCTCCATGATGCAATCCGCCAAAGTTGTCAACAGGCCCTGTCTAAAGCTAACTCGACAAGCCAACACCGGCACCTTAATTGGATGGGTGTACTGAACATGAGTGAATTTTGGGAAAAGGCTCAGTAAAAATTCATCAGATGTGCCACTTTTGCCAAATTCGTCGTTTTGGTAAGCTTTTCTGGGGCCCTTCTAGCCAAAAAATGTCTACTCACTCGTATAATTTTGCCAACAGTCTAGGCGAAATTTCGTCACATTTGTCACTTTCGACACATTTGTATTTTTTGCAACATTCGTCAACTTTTTCTAGCCCAATAATGCTTATTCAATCGTAGAATTTTGTCTGCAGGCTTGGCCAAATTTTGTCTATTTTGCCACTTTCACCGAACCCATTGTTTTCGTTGATCTCGCCATATTCGTTAACTTTGTGGCACCTTTTAGTCAATTCATGTCTATTCAAAAGGCTCGGCGAAATAGTTTCGTCAGATTTGTCACTTTCGCCAAACTCGTCGTTCTCGCCAAATTCTTCAGCTTTTTGGGGCCCTTCTAGCCAAGTCATCTCTATTCACTTGTATAATTATGTCCACAAACTTGGCAACATTACGTCGGATTTGCCACTCTCACCAAATTCGTTAACTCTTTGGGGCGCTTCTATTCAAGCCATCTTTATTCGCTTGCATAATTGTGTCAACACCCTTGTCCAAATTCCGTCAGATTTGTCACTTTTGCTACATTTGCCGTCTTCTCTACATTCGTCAACTTAATTTCTGGGGCATCTCTAGCCGAGTGATCTCTGTTCACTCAAATAATTTTGTCAACAGGTTTGGCGAAATTTCGTCAGATTTGCACTATTGACAAAATTTCCATAAATTGACAAATTTCGTCAAATCTGTCAATATCGTCAACGTCAAATTTGTCAATTTCGGTACTGCACGTACTTCTAGACATATCTGCGTGCTTACCTTGTAGGCTGTAGAGCAAACCGCGAGAGTGTACTTGTCTTCTCGCATTTCGTCGTAAATTCAAGTTGCCTTTCACAATTATTATTCTCTGGTTCGCTTAACCGTGAGTTCGCTTGGGGGCTTTCCATTATGTCAGACCAACCGGTCAGAGACTGTGGGGGTTAGCCAAGGAAAATAGAACGCCATTTTTCGCTCAAACCTGGCCAACTGAAGGAAATGGCTCTTACCATTTTATGTTCGTTTTCCCAAACTAAACCATAGGTGAAAATCTACTGCAGCGTAGTAGGACAGCGAGCCGGTTTGTGAAAATGAAACGGCAAGGTGCTCCCCAATATTCCGGTCTGATCGAACCGATTGACATTTTTGGTTTAATGGAAAGCACCCTGGCTTCTGTGCATTCCACCCTCATTTAATTTGATATTTTAACTACTTGTTTTCTTGTTGGTTACACAACTTTTCCCTGCGCATTTCCTCGGGCGTTCCGATATGAATCCAAAATGCGTAGCCTTTTCCATCCTGGGTGAGATTCCTGTAGATCAGTCTGTTGTGTCTCCAATGGATCCCCCCCTTTTTTGCGCTATTTGTAATGGGATGCTCCTTACAGGCATTTTGTTTTTCAGCACGCCTTATCTCGTACATTCGGTTTCCCTCCGCTGAGTGAATTCTTTCGAGTAACGATGTATCTATTTACCGATTCGTGTGATTAAATCATTGTTAAAAATGAATCTTTCCTTTTTTAGCATCATGTACCTGACATCCCAAAAAGGTCAGACGTTTACACGTTTCACTCCTTCTCTTTTCTTTCAAAATCCAGCAAGTGCTAGTCTAAAATATACGCTGCATTTTCAAGTTGAGAGTTCTCGGCCTATCCTATCTCGCACCGACCAACGAAACTAATTCACGAGACGAATGTTTACAAAAGATCGATCGGCAAGAAAGCGAACAGCTACATCAAATTGCGCATCTTAAATTAATCTACGGTAATGACGGAGTTTTCACAACGACGCAAAAAAAAGGAATGGAATACTTTTCTAATCTGCTATAGTGGTTTATTTTTTCAGTTATATATACCGATTTGCCTCAAGTCCGTATAAAATCATTGCACTTTACTGGTCTTGAGCTTTACCACTAACAAACAACAAAGCGTGAAAAAATATCAACATTTAAAATTCTATAACGAAGTTTTTAGATAGAGTTTACCAGTATTAAAATGGTTTGATTCCTATCTAACCATACAAAATGTCTTAAGCCTGGAGGCCTTTTTTTCTCTACGGAAAGAAAAAAGAACCTATTTCCCCAAGTTGCCTGGGGCCGGTGCATGGAATGACGGGAAAATATCATGATAAACACCTCGTCGCTAACAATGTACTGAATAACAAAAAAAACTTACCGCGCTGGAGTCTTCTTTTTAGATATGTTAGCTTCCTTTGAACGGTCAGTCTTGCAGAATAAGCGGAACCTTTCTTACAGCCTAGGTTTCTGTGACTTTGGCTTCTTTTAAGAAGCCCTAAACATGAAACAAATAAATTTGAAACTGACAACTGTCAATTGGAAAAACAGTTTTGTTGAAGCTCATGTCAAAACTGCTCAGACTTGCTTTCACTTGTAAGGCATGGAAAGAGCGCATGCCCAACTGCATTTGTCTAGGGTGGGCCTCTAAATGTTTACTTAATGAAACATTTTCGCCGAGGGAGAAACACTGGAAATTCGTCATGATCATAGAAATTTTAAGAAACGTAAGACCAACCAGAAAGAGTGTCCTGATCAACAAACATTCTTGCACTCCCAAGTCAAGCTTAAGGCAAATTGTGGGCCCAAAAGACCACGATTTTAAACGAAAGAGTACAGAAGGTTACCAATTGGGGTCGGCTGGGCAAATTTTTCGTGTGTTTCTAAGGGAGTTATCCCTTCAGTTCAGACATTTTCTTAATTAAACTCGAGACGTACAATGTTATCGAAATTTCGCTCAATTGTCCTCCATTGTTTAAAGGGAACAACCAATTTTAAACTAACAATCGATTGATTGATCGATTGATTGACTGACTGACTGACTGACTGATTGATTGATTGATTGATTGATTGATTGATTGATTGATTGATTGATTGATTGACTGACTGACTGACTGCCTGGCTGACTGACCAATTGATTGATTGATTGATTGATCAATCGATCGATCGATTGATTGATTGACTGATTGAAATAAATTGAAAACTGCCATCAAGCCTTTCGAAAAAAATATATAACTTAAGAGTAGGTTTCGTTTCTTTTTGACGCTGCAGAACTTCCTCGAAGATACCATCCTGCCCACTTGCTTAGAGGATATCTTCATAAAAAAATCCCATCGATTTTCGTCGTAAAGGTAGTTCCTATTTTAAGCTGTCAAATAGAAGTTTATATATTGTCTATCACCAAATGATTTTCGTTTGCTTTAAAATTCCAACTAGATTTTTAGGGCTCGATAAAATTTTGGTCTGGTCCTAGTCGAGCATATGCAAATTATCGACTTTGTAAACAATTCATCGTTTCGTAAAGAGGTACCCTTTTCAGTTCAATCTGTGTATTTGTCATTACTGCTCGTTTAACCATAATGAAGCTATAAATCGATCTTTGTTTTTCAACGGCTGCAAGAACATCATGGTCCCAAGTGATGCATACGGCGCTCTATCAATTGGAACACGAAAAGAGTACATTACAACACTGAGAATCCATTGTAAATATGTTGGACCTCGTCAGTATAAATGGAGGGTAAAAATAACCCATCTTTATTACAACAGTAATTATTATCAGCTCACTGTAGATTTAGAGAAATGAACAAGGCTTGAACCTGCGGTTTTCGAAGATACAGCTTGTGTGACTCACATTGAATATAACTTCGTTCACTGCTCGCATACATTAACCTTCTTTAATCTTTTACCCTGCTTTAACTTGACAGTTGTCAGCACTGCAGGAGTACTTTCGTGTTACATCAAAAACTGTATCTTTTTCCTTCGGTAATTAGATATGATAAGATTGTTTATAGAAATGCTGACTTTCACATTCGGATAGACGAGGAGCGTGACAAGTTCTCGACGTCCAAAACATTTCGTGCATTTCAACTGCCATGATTAGGTTGGACAGCCATTTTGTCGTACAATAGCCGTTTGTTGACATTACTGAGGCATGTGAAGCACTGCTAGACTACTTATGACATTAAAAACGTAGAAAGAAAAGGTATAGCGAGTGAAGAGTAAGTACATATATGCTGAAGTGTTGAGTATAACCCGATTCATTATGTTTCTATTCCTTCCCAGTCTCCTAAGGGCAAACACTCTACTGTCATTATAAAATGAACATAATATAACATCATTTATTATACGGCTAGCTCCGAGAATGGGCATGCGCGAGATGAACCAAATCCTGCGCTATGATTGGCTACCCAATCGGGCAAGATGGCGTTATCTCGCCCGCTCGGGAATACCCACTGTGTCCCACCAGTAAATAGTGTTCTTTTTCCATATAATAAATCCTTTAATGACCAAGCTTGTTCGGTCAAAACAGATTTAAACCCCTTGAAAATACAGTAGTGACAACAAGAGAGGACAATAACTTAGGCTCGATTACCAGCCGCTGTTCGGGAAAAGAGCCCGCGCTCCTCCCCCGAACTCACGGCTGGACTCATGGACTTGGCATTGTTAATTCCAACCAATAAGAAATCTGCCTGCCTGAATCGAGCAGGCTGCATAATAGCTTTAAAATTAGCTTTCTCGCAGGAGCAAAGGAGTTGTTCGATATGAAGTGCGATCGCATTAGTGGGATATTTAACCAAATACCGTCAACTGATGAAATCTCGCCTGATCTAAACCATAGTAGCATATACAACACGCAAAATAGTCAACAGACTTATACGTTAGAATCTATATTTGAATCATGTGGTACCAGAATATGAGATAACGAACAAAGTAAACAAAGGGAGGATCCGGGATAAACGCAAACATCGATTTCAAGAAACAAAACACCCAGTCAAATTGATGTGTACCTTAGTCTTCTTGAAGAGAAGCAACACCAGTCTCTGGCGAAGCCAGACAAAATTAAAKTTTTAAATGAGCCAAAGCAAACCGAACAAGCAAAACATAAACATGGTGTCAACACCATTTACACCAACATATGTGTGACCTTTGACATGACAGTTGCTACAACATAGTCAAACAGCTCTGCTCTACTTTAAAAAAAAAAAAACTCTTCTATAGAACACAGCATGTAAAGCCCTTCCGCAACAATAATGTGAAATAAAATAGATTGGAGGGCCAAAGTTAAAAGAAGTGGCGAACGCCACAAATTTTACGAGCCGTAGGCGTCATGTGTGCCTGCCTATGATTGTCATCAGATGACATCTGCGGTCACCTGAAGCGCCGCAAGAATTACATTATGAAGTTACGTCACAGACATGCTTTGCCACTCACGCGTCCAGCCGTCTCTTCTCGGGGAGGAACGTAGACCGGACTCGAGAAAGCGACGGAAATCGAGCCTAACAATAACTCCGCAGATGACGAACATGTTAATCCCTCGGGTACAACCATCATAGCTGGTGACTTCATACTGAAACACCTTAAGGCCCATAAAATGTCCAAGGATAGCAACAAAGTTAAAGTTTCCACCTTCCCTGGCTGCACCACTAAAGATATGCACGATCATATCAAGCCAATCTTAAAGGAGCTCGGTAACGGTATGTTGAATTATTTTGGCCACATAAAAATTACCTTTAAATGGTAGGAAACCTTAAAATAACAGATTAATAAGATAGAAAAACACCAAAGAGATAATGATAAACCATAAAGGAACAAGGATGGGTAAGGATGGAGAAGATTGACACGGATTACAAAAGACGAATTTGAAAAATTGAGGCTAAACTTTCCAATATGCGCAAACCACGACTGAGCTCCTTTAAGGAAAAGACCCGAGCAGCTCATCATTCGTGTCGGCACTAACACGGGATAGCGAAAGTCCAATTGTCTGTGCTGATGAAATTATCGACCTGATAAATTGGACCAAAAGTGCAGTCTTATCAATCTTAATAGCCCGCTCTGACGATGACCAACTAGCCAACCAAGTAAAGGAAGTTAACTCAACACTGAAGAAATTTTGCCGTCAGAACCAATGGAAGATGATTGCTCACTTCAACATCATCGCTGAACAACATCTTAATCGTAGTGGCCTTCACTTAGATAAAATCGCAACATAACGACTAGCTCGTAATTTGTTAGAATTTATTAAACACAAGCATCAGGATACTACCAAGCCACAGGCAAGACCATTTCTAGGCAGTACCTGGTATAGTTGACCTCCGATT